TTCAGCATACCCAAAATGCCCCGAAGGGTATTATTTCAAACTAACATGTTATAATGCATAATAAAATATTAAAAATAGTAAAAAATCGTAATTTTTTTTTAAAAAATCGTACAAAAATAAATAAAAATAAAAAAATATTTTTAAGTTAGAAAAATTAAAAAATAATTTTGTTTTCTATATTTTTTACTCATCACAATGCCACAATTATCATTGTTTCTGCCATTATTATGGAATTACTACAAATTTTGGCATATTTCCAACCGGTGATGGGAGGTGGTGGTGCTGGGGTGGCAGGGGCGGCGTTTTTTTTTTTGCATTATTTATTTATTTTTTTAATTTTTAAAAAAGTTTTTTTTTCAATTTTTTTTAAATATTTTACGAATTTTTTAATAATTTTGGACGTATTTTATTATTATTTTTACGTTTTTATTATTTTTATGAATTTATTATTAATTAAGACATTTCAAAAGCCTCAAGGGCATATTTATCCAAATACACATAAAATAGTCCTATTAACGCCTAGTAGGAAGAAAAAACGGGTAATCCTATTTGTGCTCTTGAGTCACTTTTTTGCGGGAATTAATTCTTGATGAAAAAATTACTAAATCCCTAGGTTCTTTGGTTGCGCCGTCATCCGCTAGCAAGAGAGCTGCCACTGCACCCTCTAACGCCTCTGCCACTCTCTCCGCAGCTTCCGCCACACCGAGCATCATCGCACCCCCACCAGTTTACAAACTCCAAAAATAAACCAAACACAAATATTTACAGTATCATTCATAATACTTGAGGGGAGCGTTGGACCGGTCCTGTTCACGTGAACCATAGGCCTAATTTATAAAGATGTTTAACAGTATCAAAATAGACATGTCCATGGATGCACAAAACAACTCAAACAAATTAAACCTGAAGGCCCCCAAGAAGAATTATATGGTCCGTTCAAGCACCTAAAGTCAGATCTCACGCCGTTTCTCTTCACACTATTGCTCTTTCTCCTTGTGCTGAACATGGTTTGAAATAGCGGTCCGCTACCGCTATAGCGGCCGCTATATAGCGGTCGCGGTAGGGGCCGCTACCGCTACGGCCCGCTATTCGTGTGTGATTTCCAAATCACGGGAAAAATCCGCTACGCCGCCCGCTACAGCCCGCTGTTGACCTTTCCGGCAGTACATCACGAACTGTTTGATGTGTAAATGTGTAAATGTTGTGTGAATAATGTGAAAAAATACATTAATGGTATTGTATGGAGTGAAACTCAAAATTAAATGTAGTGTGAATGATGTGAAAAAATACATTTATGTTTTGCGCAATTGAAAATATTTCACGCCGTTGCAACCGCTACAGTCGGCTACAGGCCGCTACGACTATTTAAAACCTTGGTTCTGAATAACAAAGTAACTCTGACCAAACAGAATAGTAACAAAACGGAAGAAGGATAGAAACAACGATTCTCCTTTCTTCTTCACAAAACAATTTATACTTTTATTTCGCAAATTTCCCATAAATCTTTCAAGTTTGCCCGAATACGAAGTATCCTGCTACTAGTCAATTAGTCCTTCAATGTGAATTTTCAACGGTCCTTGAAAAGTTTTTCAGTAAAAAACTAAATTTGAAGTTTGATCTGCTCCATGGATAAAGTTTTATAATTGTTCATACTTTATATCATCAAGAAATACTTGCTTTATTAGTGATGGCGGATCAAGGAGGGGAAGGAACTAAAGGAAATTTTAAGAATTGCTCAAAAGCGAACCAGAAAACATAAATAAATTTCATTCAAGCGCATCAACGGAGCCGGGCAAAAAAGTTGCTCGTACTCACAAAAAATATGCACCAGCCGGGAATCGAACCCGGGTCTGTACCGTGGCAGGGTACTATTCTACCACTAGACCACTGGTGCTTCATGCCAACTAATCTTTCTACGCGGAATATTCTCTTGAAAACTATAATTGAACATATCATATATTATTTTGTTTCAAGAATTGCACTCAAATTATCTTTTGTAATAACTTCAACCAAATTAGTTAGAAAAATAAGTCTCACTTTACTTATTTTGATTCTTACATAATTCAACGTGAAGAATAAAAAGTTGCACATTTATGAAAAAATTGATCGATAAGACGGATAAGCTGAAAATAGAGTTTATCAAACATGATCGTATTTTTTTTCCCAGAATTGCACTCAAATAGAATACGCTCTATACATAAGTGTATTTTATAGTTTAAAAACATGATTAAAAGCGTACTCTGTTTGGAAAATAAAATATTCTGTAAATTTTAATTTGACGTAATGTCTTTAGCATTTTCAATTTTGAAAAACTCTCAATGTATATGCTTGGATAATTTGGAATACAATGTGAATATTACTATGTATTATTCAAAAAGAGGGACACAAAAATGAAAATATAAAATCTCTATTCTCGAGGTTTGCGCAAATCAACGACCCTTAATTTTTGTGCCTTAAACATCCCTATCGTCGACCAAAGCACAAATGACAAAAGGGTCAAATAGACCATTCTATTCTATTGAATGTTACTTAAGTCCTTATATTAAAAAGTTGGAAAATTGATAACAATAATCTTAATTATTAATGGTTGACTCATAATAGTCCCAATTATAAATTAGTTCAGAATAGTTCGAACTTCAATTCAATAACCTTCTGCTAATAATGGTCTCATGTGACAGACAACATGTTTAGTCGATTACAAAAGAAGTATCTGAGTGTAATAATCTGATCTGTCAACTTTTATTAGACCCCGAAATATAAATGAAAATTTCCATAAATAAAAAAGTGGTAAAAAAAATGATTATAGATATTTATTTTTACTGTAATTAACTTCTTAGGTAGTCTATGGAATTAAAGAATATCAAAATATATAAATACAAAATATGAAAAACTTATATAAATTTCAAAATTAAAATTTTATAATATGTACTCCGTAAGATATTATTAATATATAACGAAAATAAAAATTATAAATATAGAGAGTAAATAGGCCAATATAAAAACTTTAAAGGAAAAACGAGTGAAAATCAAGTACAAGTTAAAAGTTAATAAATGAAGAGATACAATTTTAAAACTAAGAAAATGCAAAAGAAAGATAATATTTTTCTAAATACTTAAAATTAAAATATCAAATAATCTTAAAATTAGTTAAAAATCCATACAAAATCATGAATATGCAAAAGAATCCAAAAATAAATACTCGTATCTATCAAAAACAAAAACAATTTTTTTTTTCTAAAAACACAAAATATAAAATAATAATTTTAGATTATGAGTTACATTTTTAGATTTAGATGATTTTAATTATAAACAAATCCTAATTTTAAAATTCCAATAACATTTTCTATGTTTATAAAAAAATGTGGATAATTGGGATATTTAAAAGAAGGTCGAGCATAATTTTGAGTATTTATACAATAAGCATATTTTCTATGTAATAATGACCTGGTATAACACATCATACCCCGTTCAGGGACCATTATTGGCAGACAAGACATATAGTTCGGATTATATGTAAATAATTAATACTAGTAGTTGATATTATTGTGAATAAACTGACAATAGTTGAGATTATTGTTTTCAATTTTTTCAAAGAAGTATCATGTGAATGTGTTTACTTTAAAACTATAATCAATCAAGTCATTGTAACCTACTATTGAAGGTCATTTAAAAAAATTAAATAAAACAATTGATTAATATTATAAAAAACCATATAAATTTGGAAAATAATGTAATAATAACATAAACCGAATATTATTTGTATCCCTTTTTCTATGAAAGCACATTCTGAATTGGCTTTCAAGATCCAATAGCCAAAACCCCTAGTCCTATGACATATACCGACTATTATTTGTATCCCTTTTTGTGAGTTTTTCATGGCTATACACAATTGTCCTATTACATATACTCGCTATTCTTTGCATGCTGAAATACAATAATTTCTTTGATTACCGTGAATTAAATGTGAACATAACTTTCATTTATTATCTACTAGGCTTATATTATGTAGGTAGGTAAAGAAATGGATTCACAAGACTCGGAGACCTTCTCATCTTCTCAGTATCAGTACAATTACATGATACCATCTCAACTCTCAAACCAATCACTTCACCCAACTCCACCAGTTCAACCTGCTTACAACTTCAACCAAAGTAATGGAATGTATCCTTATTGTGTGGACCAATATGGATCTAAAATATCATTCCAAAGTCTCTTGAATTCTCCGATATTAAATCTTCCAGTGGCCAATGCTCAATTGGAGAGTTCAACAAAAAGATCAAGAAAGAAAGGTGATGACATCCAGATAATACCTCAACCTGCCAGTTCTAGAAAAGAATGGACTAAAGAGGAAGATGTAGCATTGACGAACGCTTGGTTACACGTATCAATGGATTCATACATCGGAAACAATCAGAAAAGTACTTCTATGTGGGTGAGAATAGTATAAGTCTTTAAAGAAAATATGGGAGCTAAATGCAATCCTCTTAGAAACAGCAACAGCTTGCAATTGCATTGGGGGAAAATACAAGCTGCGGTGAATAAGTTTGTTGGACATTATGAGCGACTAGATAGGCATCCACAGAGTGGCACGAACTTGGATGATTTGGTAAGTGATAAACTTTTAATGATGCTGTTTTATAGAACATTTTATACTTACCATGTTATATGTTTGAGAAATGGTCTTAGTATTGAGTATTAGCTCCAAACATGCTATTAAAATTTGTTTAATTTTTCTCTTAGATAAAAAGGGCAATGGGATCATATGAAGACATTCAAGGAAGCCCATTCAAATATCTCCACTGTTGGGAAATAATGATGAAAAATCCAAAATGGTACTCCGAACATGTGAAGCCAACATCAACAAATAAAAAAACAGTTCACACCTCCATCTCACTTGTAAGAGAGGATCAGGCACCGAGTGTTGATGAAGAAACTATGGCCTTTGGAGCTACTAACTCAGATGGGCTCATTCGTCCCGAAGGAAGAAAGGCTTGTAAGGAAAGAAAAAGAAAGGTACAAGAGGAAAAAGGTGTGGTGGATGCGTTGAACAAACTACAAAGCACTTTGGAGAAACAAGTTAACGCGAATATTACAGCTTTGGAGATGAGAAAAGAGAATGACCAAAAGGAACTTCAATTGAAACAACAACTCATAAAAGAAGAGATTGAATTAAAAAAGAATGCTGAAAGGAGGAAAGAGTGGGAACATATTATGAATCAAGATCTAAGTAAGCTCTCACCAACTGCTCGAGCAGCATATGAAGAAATGCAAGCAAATATTATAAAAGAATGGAAAAAAGAAGGTCTCTTTGGATCTAATAGGTAACTGTTACGTACATACTTTATCTAAGTTCATATTGACTTTCAATGAATTGTGACTAAACTAATACTGATTTCTTTTTTTATCCATGTCCAGCACTTGACACTCAAGACTGCATTTCTTGTCTAGCCATTTGTTGATAGTAACTTTTTAATCAGATAGTTCTAAGGGTTTTTCCTGTTTTTTTCCATGTCCTCTCATGCATTGTTTTCTGTTTGGCACTGCCACGTTGTTTGTCACGAAAGCTTTGCTTACTCTAGTTGTGATGACTTGCTAGCGCCATTATTTGTCGGTTATTACAATATTTGTTAATTGTTGACCTCCAATTTTATAATGAGCATATACTTCATTCTTGTGAAAATCCTAGCCTACCACTTTTACAGCACCACTGCACCAGAGACTTTTTCATTCTAATTATTTAGTATTTTGAAACTGTTTAGCTTGTAGCATGAGCTTGGCAGCCAAAAGTTATCTATTTGAGTACAAATAGCTTTTAACACTGTATGACTATGTAGGCAGAATACACTTTGTCAGCTCAAGATTTTAATCAAAGTTTCAAAATTCATAAGTGTATTTGGAATCAAAGAAATGAACAAATAGGTTGTATAGGAGTTCATTGGGAAGTGAGCTGGTAGGTCCAGATTACCTTTCATTGTTCCAATTTGTGTGAACCCTCTGAAAATGATCAATTACAGGTAGCAATTCCTTGCGCTTTATTTCAACTTCATTAACAGAAATATTCTTGATGGATAGTCTACCCGGGGGGTATCTTATCCGAGGGGTTATTGCGGAAATAACTTAGAGAGAAGTCAGAGCAAATAGGAGGAGAGAGAGTCGATTTTATTAAATGAACTCAGCGTGTGGAGTTGGGGATCGTTTACAAGGAGAAATGGGCTGCTATTTTATAGCAGCAATAAATGCGATGAGAGTACACGTGTCAGTAATCCAACGGCCGAAGGGTCACATCAGCCGGTTGGCACCGGCAGTGGTACGTTTACCGCATTGAATACGGTTGGCGGATGTGACGTGGCATTAAATGCGGTGGTTGGTTGTCTCCAAAAGGAATCTTCGATGATTGAGCAGTTAGCCGAAGGCTCTTTGCGTAGCCGAGGGCTCCATGTGGCAAGGACCCTTGTGTAGCCGAAGGCTCCTTGTGTAGCCGAGGGCTCCATGTGGCAAGGACTCCTGTGTGGCCGAAGGCCCCGTGTGGCCGAAGGCTTGGTTCAGCCGAAGGCTTTTCTGATGCCGAGGGCTTGAAATGCCGAAGGCTCATGTTTCCGCCGTTTTCTCCCAGCAGCTTCTTATGCCAAAAAGGCTATCCTGTGAGTTCTGGAGCCTTCGGCCAAGGAGGCCGAAGGCACCCCAGTATGTATTTTGGGCTATTTTGGGGCTTGGGCCGTTGTATTTGGGCCTGAGGTGCTCCCTGGGCTCAATGAGCTTATGTAGGAGAAGTAGGAGTCTATGGGCCGGGGGTTCCCGGGCCATATACTCCATCAGGAGTCCCTCACTCCTTTTGCCGAAAGGTACTTGAGGGAAAAGGAGTAGATGTGTTGATTCTTCTGGGGGCTTCATCATTTAGTTGGGCGCCCTTGTTTGAGAACTTGCCTTCTATTGATTGCTGAAGGCTTCCCTCAGTCCCTCACATGTCGAGGGTTTTCTGAGGGAAGTATAACACCTGTATGACTGCCGAAGGCTCTCCTCAGTCCCCCACATGTCGAGGGTTTCCTGAGGAAGAGTATAGATGTGTTGCCCGTATGTGTTGTTATGAGGGCTGCTTTACTTCCGCAAGTGACTTGGGAAAAATACCGGTACTCTGCTTCTGCCGAAGGGGTACCACTTTGATGTTTGTCCGGAGGCCGCACGCGTCAATTGTAAATTGTTGTATGAAGAAATTTTTTGTTCTGTATGATTCCCGAGGGGTATACCCCCAGTCCCCCACTCCTTTAGGCCGAAGGCGAGTTCAGGCTGAAGGAGTTATGATGAGTTGATGAGCCCCCGAGGGGTGGTAACATTGATAAGCCGAAGGCTTATGCTGCTACGGGCTCGAAGGCGTTTGGTGGAATTCGTTGCCTGAAGGCTGTGGTGGGCGATAACCGGAGGCTATCGTTCGAGGGCCTCCCAGTGCTGCCGAAATATAGTCGTTGTAATATAGCCGTTGGAGGAGGGTTCCACGTGGCGCTCTGTCGTTGGCAGATGGGGGGCGGGTGCCACCCATTGGTTGAACCGGCGGCCCGTAATGATGGCCTTTTTAAAATCGAGGCCCAGTTCTCGAGGCTGAAAGCCTATAAATACCCCAAGTCCCAAGCCATTTCCATTGTGCGTCCTTAAGCTATAGCAAAGCTCTGCCCAATTTTCTAGAGAGAGAAAGTAATCCCTTCGATCAAAAGCAACTTTCGAGGTCAGTTCTTCTTCAGTTCTTCGAATTCCTTAGCATACTTTGCCATTTCCTCCATTTGATTTAGTGTTAGCGAATTTTTTGGGAGCCTTCGGTTAGAGCATTAAGTAGCCTTCTTCCCTTAAACCCTTCAACCTCTCTTCGGTAAAATGTCAACCCAAAGCGATTCTCAAGATATCTCGAGGGAGCCCTCGGTGCAACAAGAGGGCTATTCGGACGTGGAGTCCTCGAGTGGCAAAAGCGATTCCGCAGTGGCGCTGGAAGTCCAAGATAACCTCAGAACTGAAGCCGAAGCCGAAGACTTTGAACAAGTCGTTGAAGACGAAGAACTTGCCCTCGCCCTCTAAGTGGCCGAGGAGGAGGAGGAAAAGGAGCGGATGAAGGTGACTGTCGCCGCACTCCCTCTTCGTGGCGCCGGCGAAGCTAGTAGCTCCCGGCCCCTGGATCCGGAACCGATAAGCGTCGCCCCCGGGAAAAAGAAGAAGAAGATTCTGGCGGCCCCGAAGAAAAAACATGCTGCCATTGACGCGGGTCAACCGGTGGGAATACCCGAGGGCCACTCGTATCTGAACACAGCGGCCCTTGCGCTGAAGACGAAGGCCACAGCCCCCGACTATCAGGCCACTCAGGTCCTCGTAGGACCCTTCGCACAAGTAGTTGAACCGGGGCCAAATGATTTGCTGTTGAATCCTCCGGAGGGTGCTTCTCAGTGCATATACTTTCCGTGGATCTAGGCCTTCGATTTCCGCTCCACCCCTTTCTGTTGGAGTATCTCAAGTTTGTGGGATTGGCCCCCTGCCAGCTTACCCCCAATAGCCATTCATATATTAGTGCGTTCCTGTCGCAGTGCCGAAGTCGGGAGGTGGAGCCGACGTTGGACCAATTCTTCCTGAGCTTCAACTTGTGCCGAGGGGGGCATGCTAACAGCGAAGGATTCGCCAACCTCCAGCAGGTGCCTGAATGGAGGATTTTTTCTGAGGTGCCCTCGTCACATAAGGGTTGGAAAGAGAAGTTTTGCTATCTCCGCATGGCCGCTAATCCTTTCCCGGAGCCTCTCCGCCATCACTTCCGAAGGCATTTGAGGGTCCGGAATGCTTCCCTTGATAAAAATGGGAAAAAGCTGGCGGCGAAGCCGAAGGGATCGGATAAGCTGATGTCTATTAAGGCGGCCACCCTTCCGGAAGAGATGTACAAGCTGGGATTTCGTCGGTACCGTCTGCCGGGGGATAAGGATGAGACACTTCCCGTGATTGACCGAGTCTACCAAAGCGTTGGAGGTGTTTGCCGGAGGCTCCTTACTTTGTACTTGGGCATTTCTTCGTCTTGTATTCGTAACCTGACACCTGCATGCTTATATTATTTCCTTTTCTTCTTTTTTTTTTTTTCCGCAGGTCCGGACATGGATGCCAAGTCGCTTGCCTTACTGAAAAAGCAAATGGCGAAGGAGGCCAAAAAGAAAGGGGGGCCTCCCTCACAGAAGGCCGTTGACGAGTTCTTCCAGAAGCCGGGGGCTTCTAAGGACAAAGACGCTGAGGGCCCCTCAAAGGGTGACGCCGATGCCCAGGTGGAGGCTGGGGGCTCCAAGACCGAGGAGTTGAAGCGGAAGAACACCGGGAAGGGCGTCATGCCTCCGGAGAAAAAGAAGAAGAAGGGCGGTGAGGGGAGAAAGGAGGCCCCCATCCTGATAGCCGAGGACCAGCCCTCTTCACATCCCCCGGCTAATACGCCCCCTCGTTCTCCTCCCTCTCCTTTTGATGAGGAGATTCGGCCGGCGGAGATTGTCCAGTTCCCTATCAAGTCGGGGACCTCCGTCTTGCATGGCACTCTGCACCCCGTCGGGTTCATGAGGGGAGTAATGTTCTCGAAGGACAAGTCCGTGCTGGCTCGCTTCGAGGATGATATCCTTGATTACAAAGTCGCCAGCTATACTACCATGGTGAATCTTCTTCTCTCCTTTATTCTCCCTTTTTTTTTTAAAGTTTTCAAGTATCTCGGATATAACTTCATGATGTGAATTCTCTGACGCCGAGGTTCCCCCCTTTCTTTTTTTGCAGGCTGCCTTGGCTGCCTCCGAGCAGGCCCGGAGGGTGGAGCAGCTTAGGATAGCAAAGGGCCAGGCAGACGAGGCCCTAAAGAAATCTGATGAGGAGATCTCCGCCCTCAGGAAGCGGCTCGCTGATGCCGAGGAGGCCCTTCGGTTGGAGAAGGAGGACGTGGAACAAAGGCTAAGAGATGCCGAGGCCAAAGGCAAGGCCAGTGCTGAGGAAGCTGCCGCCGAGGCTGCCAAGGCTGCCGCCATCAAAGCCGAAGAGGCCAGGAAGGAGGCGGCGCTCCAAGATGAGAAAGATGCAGTGTCTGCCTTCGTCGCCGAGGGATGGCAAGCCGAGGAGCGGAAGCCTTGGGTGGATACCGTCGTGGAGGCTTCGGTCGATGCGTGGGTTAGGGGGCCCGATGCAATGTGGCTTGCCCGGAAAGGCAAAGAGTACTATGATGGTGGCGAGTTCTTCACGCAATGGCTTGTCTACCGGAGGCTCGCTAGGCACCTCGGCGTTGACCCTAAGGAGTTTGACCCCTCGACTCATGGCCTGCCCCCCCTTCAGCCAGATACAAGGGTTCCATTGCCCCCGGGCGTGGAGCGGCCTGATCTCGAGGACTCCGAGCTGATGAAGGAGGCTGGGGATGATGAAGATGCTGAAGACGATGCCGTTTCCAAACGGGGGGGTGATGTGGCTCAAGAAGCCCAACCTTGAATATATAT